TCCTTCCATGAATCCATGCTTGTTGGCGTTTATACTCTTGTTCCGTTCCAGGTGCTCCACCACTCTCCTGATAATCTTCTCCATAACTGTGTGTGTATGTGTGTGTGTCTGTCTGTGTGTGTTAGGTAAGTTTTCTAAGGTTCTTTTGGTATTCATTTTTACATTAACTCAAATGAAAAAAATATCTTTAATCGTATAAGAGAAAATTTTAGAAAGGGACTTAATTTTAAATGAGTTCTTACTAAATGACCAATTTTTCCTATTCAGCACATAATAATATATATATATATATATATATATATATATATATATATATATATATATATATATATATATATAATCTTTATAACTTTATATATATTGTATATATACAATATATATAAAGTTATTATGAGAATCACGGAAATTGTTCAAGAAAACAATGCCTTGGCAAATTGTATTTATCTAAACTTTAAGAAAGATTTTGATGAGAGTTTTCCATGAAAGACTTATTTGGAAACAAGAAAATATACGAGAAATAAAAGGCAAATTATTAAAATGTTGAGAGACTTTATTCGAGAGGCAAATGCAAAGTTATATGAGAAAAACATTTCCCGTGGACAGATGTCTCAAGAAGGGTGCCACTTGATCCAATGTTTAGCATTATTATTACTATTACTAATAATATTATTGCAATTATCATTATTATCAATAACATTAACTATCGTTACTATTATATTAGTATCAATATATTATCAATATCATTATTATTAAGTTACCAGAAAGAGAAACTATCGGAATATGTTTGCAAATAATGCGGAAACCTTTGTTTAAAGTTAGATTCACTTATTTAAGTTACATTTTCTTGTTATCAACCGTCTTTCAACGTCGTCCCAAACAAGTTTACCTTCTTTTTTTTTTTTTTTTAAATTCGAAGTTTATATTATTGTATTCATGGTGAGGCATAAAATCTGTGATCCCTATATAACCCCTATGGGTTTAGCGCTTCTCTAAAAAAATAATTATAATAACCTTCGACCCAACGTTACTGGATTTGATTTCAGCAAAGCCTTCAACACCAGAGGTACGCCCGGTGACCTTACTATGTACAAGATCAGTGCTCTCGACGTCTAAAATGTTATTCTATGTCATTGACTGCCAGAAAACAATTATTACACCACACGACGGGCATATCTCTATCTCTCTATCTCTCTCTCTCTCTCGTGAGCGTGCGCGCGCATGCGAGAGAGAGCGCACGTCCAAGGTACGACCACATTTCACTAATTAGTGTGTCCTGCTCAATATTCAGAATGCAGCTAAGATGTTCGTGCTTCCAGAGCGTTTACGGACCTCGAGCTGGTGAGAAAGTACTGCAACAACAGCAATAACCCACCGCAGGATGGATTTAAACACTAACAGAATACGTGGAACAAATCTTTTAATGCAAACGAGTTAGTTTATTTAGATACAGGCACACATAAGTACGATTATCATACATAGTGTAAATTATCTTAGATAACCTAAAACAAAATCAAAGTTTGTTTGTATTGTTCCAGCTACGGTTTTGTTTCTTTTTATTCCTTATGGAGACCAGAACTGAGCAGCATAACCTAAACAAGACCTAACTAAAGATATATAAATATATAATGCTGAAGTACAGGCGGGCCCTGCTTATACAGCAGGTTAAGTTCTAGGCTACTGTTATAAAGCGAAAATCGCCGTTAAGTGAAACAGCTTTTTTTTCCACTTTCAAATGCACATAAAAGTCTGATAACATGTTTACACTACCATATATTAAGTGAGCAACAGAGTAAGACCTAAAGAATGCATATACAATACACAGATTACTTACCTTAAAATATTTTCGTCCTTAGTTATTTGTGAGCAGTGAATATATTTATTGTAGGAAGTCTGAATAAATGAAGAATGGGTATAATTGAAATCGCTGCATTATCAAAACGTAAAGCGGGACCCACCTGTATAACCTAAGGATTTTTATCATTTATACATCTTCATATAAAGCCAAAAATTTTATGAGCTTTATTACAAACACACTAATGCACCATTGTCTTGCCTTCAAATTTCTGCTAGCTAGAACTTTTTTTGTTTTTTTTTTGCATTAGATATGACTAAACAAACCATACCACGGGTGGGGTTTGAACCCGTGGTCAGAGAGTCTGAAAACTTCAAACCGTCGCGGAGTTTTGAGACTCTCCGACCGCGGGTTCAAATCCCACCCCTGGTATGGTTTGTTTGCAATCGTGTCATTACGATTTCGTGAGTCAAGTTAGATATGACTAAGTTCTACCTTATAAGTGTTATATTTTTTTTTAGGATTAGAACCTTGCATATGTCTGTTCTGTACATTTCCAGTTACATCAGAAATTATTTAAGGGCCTAGTTTACTGGCATCGGCAAAATTATTTATGTCGTCATTTATTCCGTCAACTATGTCAAGTGGCACGCCACTTGCAACGGATCTCCATTTTGATTTCTTCACATTAATGCTAACTGTCTGTTGTGTATAAGTCAGTCATGCCTCGATAAAAGAGACAATTTATCATCTTATATCACGTGCTTCTACTCAATAGTTTCGTATGTAGAATTTTATTAAAGACCTTATGGAATTCCGTATACCCATTAGCATGATTTATCTTTACTGCAAGAAAGACTGGCATAGTAGCTCAGGAAGTAGGAGAGACTGAGGTTATGGTGTTAGAACAAGTAGACAGATCACGTAGGAGTACCTGTGGGGTACGTGGGAGGCTCGGAGTCTTGTACCAGTCAGCGAGGGATATCATGGCGACGGTGGTGGTGATGATTGAGAACATCACCTCCCACGGGTGGACTGCACACATTCTCCCGTGGGCCCAGAAAGTCTGCCATGTTACACCGCTTCCTGAAAAAGAAAATAATTTAAAAAAAAATAAGTTCAATCGCCTCGTGTGGCTATCCTGATCTATACAAGACCCTGCAAAATTAGAGCAAGAGCTATATTTACCTAGCACATCTATGACGGTGAATGAGTTTCCTGTCGTACTCCATCTCATAAGATGGGTTTTATACACGAAGAAGCTTGTGCTGATAGATCATGTGAGGTGAGAAATTAATCGTCAGAAAGTGACTTGAGTGCAGTATAATAATAATAAAAATAATAAAATAATAATAATAATAATAATAATAATAATAATAATAATAATAATAATAATAATAATAATATCTTTATTTCTACAAATACATGTACAAGGTATACAGGCCTAGCTGACATCAATGACACACTGTTCTGCAGAGCGAGCATATCGCGCAAATTAGGTCAGTTTTGTCCCAGGATGCGACCCACACCAGTCGCCTAACATCCAGATACTCATTTTAATGATGGGGAACACAGACAACCGGTGTAAAGAAACACGCCCAATGTTTCTACCCTCGCCGGGAATCGAACTTGGACCTCACCGTGAGAGAGCTTTAGCCACCAGGCCACGGTGCACCAGAAGTAAACGAATTTTGTATGTGACAACCCTTATGCAACAAATAACGAAAAGTGAATATTGCAAAAATGGTGTAATGTAAACGTGGCACAGTGTCTTTATATGGCACCACACATCGTTCCACTCACCCCTAAGTCTACTGTCACGCCACATCCCAGATTCCTTTCTACATCTAAATTCATCCAATTTTTAACCAACTGTTTAAAGCTCGGTCTTGTTTGGATATTTTTGTCATACTTATATCCGCGTCATTTACGCATAATTTTGCTCAACGCAAAAATACTAGCACTATTACACTTTAAATACAAACCACGATGTGTCTGAAAAATTTCATAATGAGGCAAGAGGTTGAGAGAGAGCACAGGTAACCTCCATGGTAGGGGGAAGACCGAAGGCCGCAGCCTAAGATTTATGACCCATCCTGGGTACCAGGCACTGATCGCCTCAAAACCCCAGAAATATTATAAGCAGCCACACACGTGTGGAATTCCAGTCTGATACAAGGAAGGGAAAGACAGTTCCACTTCTCTGGGTCAAGAGCACTTCACCAGCATCAAGCACCTTCCCCAATGAAGAGCATGACCCACACAAGAATGAAAGAAAATCTTGACCCTGAGTAATATTGTGCACTATAGCGTAAGCAATGAGGTTTTCCAATGCAAATGAGATACAGAACCTAAATACATCAAAAATATCGCGACGCGCAAGGGCTCTTCACTGAACAGTGTTGCAAGCAGCAGTAATGACACGTGGAAACCCCAGGTTATGTGAATAACGCCTGTTATACGATAATGATGCTGCTGCTGTATCGTAATAAGTCATAACCGTTACAACGGTTTTAACGGTTGCTCCCAGCTCCAGCTGTCCTTCCCTCCCCTCCCTTCCTTCCCATCCATCCAGTAGCACTCCCTCCTCTTACTCCAAATATTCCTATTTTGCTCTCCTCTATCCACACACTCAGGACGCAACAATGAAGCGTTTTGATGTCACGGGAACTTGTAAAATCAAACGCGACACTGGAAATTGCTTTAATCAACCATGAACCGCATTCGCGTTCTCGTTCTTTCTCTTTCTCTCTCTCTCTCTCTCTCGTTCTTTCTTTCTTTCTCTCTCTCTCTCTCTCTCTCTCTCTCTCTCTTCTCTCTCTCTCTCTCTCTCTCTGATTCACCTTTATGCACACTTTCACCCAAGCCCCTGACTTCAAGGTTACACGACATGACAAACTCATCACTTACAATCGCTCAAAAAATGTTGAACCAAGTCATGCCAAAACAAACTTTTGAGTTATCACAAGGTTGAGTGAAATAAGACCACCAGAACCAACGAAAAGGAATAACTTCGTTGGCTTTTCTTTCTGGCAAAAAAAAAAATTGTCACCAAAGAGCTTGCGAAAAAGCCAACAAAAATTTATTAATTTCCTGGAAATACGACAAGGTTCTAGAATTTTGCTGACCAGACCACCAACTACTAATGAAGATGGTTGTCAATGTGGCAGGAGTAAAAATGGAAGCTAGGGATAAAGGTGATATACTGTTAAAAGAGGTTATGAAATATCTAGACTCAAATATTCCAGTAATTAATTTTTATAGTGGGCTAGAAGGTAAATTATGTAACATCACAGTCACTAGTGAAATGGTTGTGAAGCAGATAAACAGACTGAAGCAAAATAAGTCGCCGGGTCCTGATGAGTTTTTTCAAGGGTTCTTAAGGAATGCAAAATGGAACTCTGTGAACAATTAACTAATATTTTTAATTTATCTCTTCAAACAGGTGTAGTGTCTGATATGTGGAAGATGGCTAATGTAATTCCTATTTTTAAAACAAGGGACAAGTCGTTACCGTCAAATTACCGCCCAATAAGCCTGACCTCAATTGTAGGCAAGTTGCTAGAGTCAATTATAGCTGAGATTATAAGAAGCCATCTCAATAAGCATAGCTTGATTAATGCTACTCAGCATGGATTCACAAGAGGCCGGTCTTGTCTAACTAATTTATTAACTTTCTTCAGTAAATTATTATTATAATCAAAAAGAAGTGCTAAGCCACAAGGGTTTCTTCAGTAAAGCTTTTGAGGCTGTTGACCACGATAAAGAATTTGATATTATTTACTTAGATTTTAGTAAGGCTTTTGATAGAGTTCCGCACCATAGACTGTTAAAGAAGGTGGCAGCTCATGGCATTGGGGGAAAAGTGCTCTCGTGGATCGAGTTATGGCTCACTGACAGGAAGCAGAGAGTGTCCATAAATGGGGTTAAATCCGAGTGGGGATCTGTAACAAGTGGCGTTCCACAGGGATCAGTCTTGGGCCCGTTGTTGTTTATAATATATATCAATGATCTTGATGAGGGAATTACTAGTGATATGAACAAATTCGCCGATGACACAAAGATAGGTAGGATAATTGATTCAAACGTAGATGTTATGGAACTTCAGGAGGATTTAAACAAGCTCTATTCTTGGTCAGAAAAGTGGCAGATGCAGTTCAATGTAGATAAATGCAAGGTTCTGAAGCTTGGGAGTGCCCATAACCCTAGTACTTATATGTTAAATGATGTAGAACTTACCCATACAGATTGCGAAAAGGACTTGGGGGTTATGGTGAGCAGCAACCTTAAACCAAGACAGCAATGCCTAAGCGTACGTAATAAGGCAAATAGATTACTGGGATTTATATCAAGAAGTGTAAGCAACAGAAGTCCAGAGGTCATACTGCAGCTTTATACATCATTAGTAAGGCCTCACCTAGATTATGCAGCTCAGTTCTGGTCTCCATATTACAGAATGGACATAAATTCGTTAGAAAACATTCAGCGTAGGATGACTAAAATAATACATAGCATTAGAAATCTTGTTAGGTAAGACACACATGCAAGTTAGGTATCTTTATTTCGAAACGTTTCGCCTACACAGTAGGCTTCTTCAGTCGAGTACAGAAAAGTTGATAGAAGCAGAAGAGACTTGAAAACGATGTAATCAGTCCATCACCCTTAAAGCTTTGAGGTGGTCAGTCCAAAACTTTAAGGGTATGGACTGATTACATCGTTTTCAAGTCTCTCTGCTTCTATCAACTTTTCTGTACTCGACTGAAGAAGCCTACTGTGTAGGCGAAACGTTTCGAAATAAAGATACCTAACTGTTGCATGTGTGTCTTGGAAATATAAACACATATGCAGTATAATGTGATCCTTTATTGACTACGTTTCACCCACACAGTGGGCTTTTTCAAGTCACAAACAGATCTACCTGGGTGGAAGGGACGCGAGTATTTATAGTCAGGTTCAGAATGCTGAGGTCAGGTGGAGAATGCTGCATCTGATGATGTACCGAGTGGGGTTGTAGAGTCTAAAATCTTGGGTAGCTTGTAAATGAGATTGGATAAGTTTGTGAGCAGACCTTCTACAGTGTTCTTATGTGGGATAGCGATGAAGAAGTTTCTTGGCAAGTGGTTCAGCTATGTTATAGAAGCCACTATTCTGGTTGAAGTTGTCGGATATAGAAATAAGTGATGATTCCAGGAGTCTTCGGTATTGAGTGTTGTCTTCTGTGGCGATGAGTCTTGAGTTTCTGTAGTTTATCAAGTGGTTTTGTGTGAATTACGGTGTTGTACACAGGCATTCCTTGTGTCGTCAGACCTGCTTGCGTATTGGTGTTCTGAAATACGTGTTTGGAGGTCCTTGATGTTTCGCCCACGTATAACTTGTTGCAGTCATTACAAGGGATTATGTATACCCCTGCAGAGGGTGGAAGCTTGTCCTGTCTATCACTGGTAATGTCCTTGATGGTCGTGGTTGTGGAGGTAGATACTTGAAATGAGGTATTGGAAAAGATGTTGGAAACGTGTTTGGCAATGGAGTTGGTGGGGAGGACTATGTATCTCTTCTCGGCAGTGTCTTCTCTGGGTGTGTTGAAGATGTTTAATGCCCGTCGTCTGCAGTCTCTGATAAAGTGACGAGGATAGTGGAGTTTAGAAAATACTTGTTCAATTATCGTGCATTCTTCAAGGAACTCATTGCTACAGATTCTGAGTGCACGCAGGAAGAAGCCTATAATTACACCACTTGAAGAAGAAGTCGACATCACTCTTCCTATTCCTTGATGTTCTGCTCTGCAAAGCTGACCACGAACTTCGTTTTAAAGTCCATCGAAAACCCACCAACCAAAACGACCCTCTCCCACTTTTACTCTCACCACGACACGAAAACCAAACGTGTGTAATTATAGGCTTCTTCCTGCGTGCACTCAGAATCTGCAGCAATGAGTTCCTTGAAGAAGAATGCACGATAATTGAACAAGTATTTTCTAAACTCCACTATCCTCGTCACTTCATCAGAGACTGCAGACGACGGGCATTAAACATCTTCAACACACCCAGAGAAGACATTAACATGTTTTCCTATGAGCGAAAAACTAT